TGGGCAGCCAAAATATTCGAAACATTTTGGCTGCCCATGGGTTGAAGGTTGAGCAATGCTACTGAATAGCAAGAGTTCTTGGGCGGTGCCGATAGACCCAGGTCTCATGGACCCTGAGATTGGCCTGCCTGTGAGTGTGAACAGTGGGGTGTTGGGAGAGATCTGTGTGGCCCATACAGGGCAGACTGGAGCTAAATAAACCTGTGGTGTCAAAATCCAGAGGTGTTCCAGAGACAGACAGACATGGATCATGAGAAGCATTGTTGTTGTCCAGGATAACAGAGACCCCAACTTGCAGGGGCCTGGGATGGGGTGTGCCCTGGGCTTCTGGCTTTTTTTAAAAAATTTTTTTTTTACATGTATTTATTTTTGAGAGACAGAGACAGAGTGTGAGCAGGGGAGGGGCAGAGAGAGAAGGAGACACAGAATCCGAAGCAGGCTCCAGGCTGCGAGCTGTCAGCACAGAGCCTGACACGGGGCTCGAACCCACGAACCGTGAGGTCATGACCTGAGCTGAAGTCGGGCACTTAACTGATGGAGCCACCCAGGAGCCCCATGGGCTTCTGGGTTTCTGCTAAGGCCATCTTACTTGGCTCTCACGAGGTCACGCTTACCAAAAATGCTCACTGGAGGAGAAGGAAACCAACTGTAATGTGACAGAAATATGCTAGATCTTAACAGCAATTTGAAGTCCATGGAATGTAAAATAAAATTTTACGTTTATTTATTTATTTTGAGAGAGAGAGAACAAGGGGCGAGGGCCAGAGAGAGGGAGAGAGAATCCCAAGCACCATCAGCGAGATCATGACCTGAGCTGAAACCAAGAGTTGGGCACTTAACCAACTGAGCCATCTAGGTGCCCCAGAATTTCCCTCTTTTAAAGATGAGAAGACGAGAGCATTCCTGCCTGTGTGTGTGCGTTGGGCTGTGTGTCGGGAGAACTGTGTTGGGTTCCTCCCCGAGATGTCAGGGTGCTACAGGGGCAATAGGATTATGGGATTAAAACCTGAAATCCACATGCAACGGGTGACCTGTAAAGTACTTTTCGGGGCGTATTCTGCACAGAGCTTCCCAAAAAAATGCATCTAAAGGTCAGAGGTGAATTCACAGCCGTGTTGAGTGATCAGTCAGGCACACATAGTTGTGGTGAGGGCTGAGGACAGGAGGAATTAGAAGTCCTGAGTCTAGACAGGGTGGAGTGAACAGAAGCGGTTATAGCAGCAGCGTTGTGAAACGCCTGGTCCCGAATGTCACGCTTGCGGGATGCCAGACGGGGCCGTGCGTGCTTCAGAGGTCACCACGGGTAGATAGCTGGCAGATGGTTTTTCACAAGCTTTAACAAACCTCCAGGACACGTGCTTGCACTTCCCTTGCCCTGGGGGTATCAGAGAGAGCCAGCCATGGACAAGAGGGGCGCCTGGGTGGCTCGGTTGGTCGAGCGGCTGACTTTGGCTCAGGTCATGATCTTGCGGTTCGTGGGAGCCCCCCATCAGGCTCACTGCTGTCCGCGTGGAGCCCGCTTCGGATCCTCTGCCTCCCTTTCTCTTAGCCCTCCCTCACTTGCGCTTGCTCTCTCAAAAATAAATACTTTTTAAAAATTAAAAAAAAAAAAAGTTTATGGACAAGAAAATCTGAGTCTCAAAAATTTTCTCAAGGAAGGGAATGATAGTAAACTTGGCAGAACAGAATAGGATTTGAGTCCGAGTGCGGATAATACTGGGCTTTTGCCCAGTGGGTTTCCTTTACATATTTATTTTACTTAACTCTGTTTTAAGTAAGCTCTCCGCCCAACGTGGGGCTTGAACTCACGACCCTGAGATCAAGAGTCATATGTTCTACTGACTAGCCAGCCAGGCGCCCTGCTAAATACTTATTTTAAATACAGAGATCCTGTCATTCAGATAAAAGCTCCCCCACAAGCTCCTTTTATTTATTCTTTATGTTTTTAGAGAGGAGAGTGTGTGCAAACAGGGGAGAGGGCAGAGAGGAAGAGAGAGAGAGAGTCTCCAGGCTCAGCACCCGGCCCGACACGGGACTCCATCCCAGGACCCTGGGATCACGACCTGAGCCGAAATCAAGAGTCTGACCCTCAACCAACGGAGCCACCCAGTCGTCCCCCACCAGCTCCTTTTATAAAACCTGAGAGCAGAGTTGTCCAGAGGCTCTCAGCCATCCATTCATTCGTTCCCACAAACACTGGCTCCGGGGCCTTCCGCACACCAAGGAGCTGTCAGGAGCTGGGGAAACGGGCAACAATCGCTGCCCCCATGGGTTCCACATTGTAACGGGAGCGACAATAAGTAAATAAGTAGAACAAAACTACTGGTACCCAGTTTTACAGGAGGTAAACTGAGGCAGAGAAGACTCCAGAGGCACGTCCAAGCTCACGCGGCAGAGGCAGGACTCGAACCCGGACAGTGTGTGGGCTGACCTCCCCGCTGCACAGCCCCTGGTGTGCAGTACATCCCGGGCACCGGTTCTGTGGGGGGAGTGTTGGCCGGGGGAGCGGGGAGAGGTGCCAGGGGAGAGCTTGGCTTCTGTCTTGTTACGCATTTGAAATCAGAGTGTTGATTCTCTAAGTCTCTGCCTGCACTAACGCTTACGTGATCAGGTTAAGCAGACCCTAGGAGGGGTAAGGATTTAAAACACCTATGTGTCGGGGCACGTGGGTGACTCAGTCGATGAAGCGTCTGACTCCGGCTCAGGTCATGATCTCATGATCTGTGGGTTCGAGCCCCACTTCGGGCTCTATGGTGACAGCTCAGTGCCTGGAGCCTGCTTCCGATTCTGTGTCTCCCTCTTTCTCTTCCCTGCCCCCCAAAAGATAAATAAGCATTAAAAAAAAAAGTCTGTGCCCTTTAGCCTGCCAGCCCCCCCATATACACCCAGCAGGCAGGGCTGCTTTGTGAAAGCTCCTA